AAAAGCTCTACAGGAAATCATCTCTCGACATGTAAAAGACAAGAATGACCGCCAAACAGACCTTGTCATTTATTATCGCAATAAGAAAACATCTAACTTTCTTGTGAGAAACAGCCCAGACAAACCTGACGAACTAAAATGCACCAATGTGGTGCATCAATTCCAATGCAACACAAAGGCTGCATCTTCGTTCCATACACTACGTTGGTGCGACCACAACAATCTCACGACGCCTGACGATGCAATTACGTGACGGAGCACCGCTGGACCACATGCGACACCAGGGGCGGATCCAAGAGGGGGGGGGGGGGGCGGGCAGGAGGCCAGTGGGCCCTGAAGGGGTCCATTGGCTCCGAGGGGCCCATAGCCGGCCGAACAGGTGCGGTTTTTAAGTACAAGACGAAACAAAACTGGATGGCTCTGGACTTCCAGACGGCCCAGAACTGCTGTAAGCGGAAGTGAAGGGCTTATGAGAAGTCAAAAAATTATTCAATAATTGGAAAAGTTGTGAGCTGGAAATTTAAGCCTCATTACACTGTATAGGGGCTCCATGCTGTTTCTGGGAGACCTATATGCCCGCTTTCAGGATCATTTTGATAGTTACGGAGCATTCTACGTTGCCCTTTATTTTTGGCATTTGCTCGGGGCCCTGCGCCGTTGTTGGGCCCTTCCTGCTAGCGTTCCGGGGCACTATTGTCATTCACGGGCGCTTCCACGTGTTTTCTCCCTTCGCCAGAAAGGCTCTGTGGGCTATAGCCGGGGTCCCATATCTTAAGCTGCCGGGGTATTCTCGGTTGCTCAGGGGCCCTTTACGTGGATCTCAGTTAGGCTACCGACACACTTGCGATATGCTCATGGGCCCCCTTCATTGGTCTAGAGCGCTTCCGACTCTCTGTCACTTGTCTAGGGCCCTGCACTCTTGTCGGGGGCCATCTGATGGCCTGCTTGGCCACACCGGTCGTTCGCAGACCCTTCACACTGAGTCTTGGGTACTTCTTTCTTAATGGGGGGCCCTACGCTTTGGCATGCCTATCTTATAACCTGCTCGGGCATTCAACCGTTCGGGGGTCCTCCGCAGTGGGCATTGGGCATGTGCTATTTGAATGGGGCCCTACGCACTTGTCGGGAGCCCCTCTGTTCTCCTCCTCGGCCACTCTGGATTGTTCGAGGGCCCTGCACATTGGTTGTTGATGCTTGATTTTAGGGCCCTTTGCTCTCATCGGGGTTATCTGATAACCTGTCCGGATACACCCCATCTTTCGGGAGCCCTCCGCATCGGGTTTTAGGTGCCTCTTATTTGAATGGAGGGCCTTGCGCTCCTGTGGGGCCCCTTCTGATAAGGTGCTCGGGCCCCTTTGATCGTGGGGGACCTTTTCATGTGGTTTGGGCACTTTCTTTTTCAATGGAAGGCCCTCTGCGCTTTTCGGGGGCCCTATCTGTTAACCTGCTCTGGCGCACTCGATTATTCGGTGCTCTACATCGCGTCGTGGGCATTAAATATTTGAACGGAAGGCCGTACGCTCTTGCCAGGGCCCATCCGTTAACCTGCTCGGGCACACTCGAATATCCGGGGGCCCTTCACAGTGTCTCGGTACTTTCTATCTGAATGGGGGCCCCTACGTACTTTTCGGGGACCCCATCTGTTCACCGCTTTGGCCACACTGAATTGTCGGGGCCCTGCACATTGGGTGTTAGTGTTTGAATTTAGGGTCCTACACTCGCTCTAACACTCTACACTCTGGGCCACCTGATAATCTGCCCGGGTACACTTCATCTTTCGGGGCCTCCCACACTGGGTTTTGAGTACTTCTTATTTGAATGGAGGACACTACTTCCTTCTCGAGCTCCTTCTGATAAGCTGCTCGGGCACGTTCTTTCATTCTGGGGCCATTCAAATAAGATCTTCGGTGTTTCCCATTCGAATGGAGGGTCCTACGCTCTTGTTGGGAGCCCTATTTGTTAATCTGCTCGGGCACACCCGATCACTCGGGGGCACTCTTCATTGGGTTTTTGGCACTCCCTGCTTCAGTGGAGGGCTCTTCGCTCTTGACGGGGGTCCTATATGTTAACCTGCTCTGACGCACTGGATCATTCGGGGGTCCTCTGCGTTGGGCCTTGCATGCTTCCTGTTTAAACGGAGGGCTCTACGCTCTTTTCGGGAACCTTATCTGTTAACTTCACCGGGCGCACTCGATCATTCAAAGCTCTACACGTTGTGTCGTGAGTATTTCTTTTTTGAATGGATGACCCTATGCTCTTGGCGGGCCCCATCTATTAAGGTGCTCGGGCCGGTGGCGGATGCAGAGGGCTGGGAGAGGGGAGGCGCGAGACCATGCCCCATGGACCGTGCCGAAGAAAGCTAAAGGCTCCGAAGGGGTCCATAACCGGCCGGACGGACGCAGTTTTCTTACAACAAATTTGGAAGCCTTTGGGCCAAGAACAATCGTTGGCAAAAGTAAAGAGCTCATAAGCAGACCAAGATCACTTTTTGCTGATTAAAAGTGTTGCTTGGGGGAAATTCTGGAGCTCATTACGCTGTCCAGAGCCATTGCGCTGTTGGTTTCCTGGCCCTACATGTTCATTTGCCGGGTCAGTCTGATCGCTAGGGAGCTTTCCACGTTTCCCTTGATCTCTGCATTTTCCCGTAGGGCCCATGTGCTGTTAGGACGCTACCGCCTCCATACCTGGGCACTGCTGACCAATCAGGTTGTCCCCGCGGATTCTCCCCCCATTCGCCCGAAAGGCTCTTCACGCTTTTTCCAGGCCCCATATTCCAGGATACACTCAGTTGTTCAGGGGCCCTTCACTTAAGTCTCGGGCTTTTCCCACTTGCTTGGAGGGTCTAATGCTGTTGCTAGGGTTTTTATAAGGTGAGGCACGGAGACACTCCATGCTCGGAGGCCATCTACTTTGATTTGGTCTCATTTGCGGAAGACTCTTCACTTACTTCACTCCTATCGAGGCTCGTGTTGTTTACCCGCCCGCGCACTCTTGATCGCACAGGGCTATTCATTCATGATCTTGGATAATTTCCCTTCGCTCGGAGGGTTCTGTACTCTGGCCGAGGCTTTATATGACCGCCTGCCGAGGCACTACCGGTCGTTCATGGGCCCACCACGTTTGTCTCTTTTTGCTTGCTCTGCGGACACTATACTTGACGGGAGCTACTTTGTTGATCTCCTGCGGCACCCATGATCGCTCAGGTTTCGTCCCTATTGGTCTTGGTGGCCTCGCCTCAGAGCAGCGGTCGAGTACGCGCCAATGAATTTTTAAGAGCAATTGCTAAGCGCAATTTGTCATGCCGCCGACATATCTGTCCTTTTCCTTGGTTATGGAGTGAGTGACACTTATAATACTTGTGCATCACGTTCTTAACATATTTCGAATACCAGGACATGTTGCACTCCTTTGTAACGTTGGAAAAATTATGCAGTAATCAACAGTCATCAACTGATTACATCGCCCAGCTGGCTAGCCCTAAAGACATAAGCTAGGAATCAAGTCCAAGGTTGGTTTTGATGGTTGTTAGCAGCTAAGTCAAGTTTATTTCGCCTGTTGTCCCGAAACACTTAGCCTCAACATCACAGCATTTAACATGATATGTACAAAGTGAGTGAGCTCTATGTGTATGCATGCCTAGCACGCCCAGCTTTGTAAGGCCGCGCGCAGTAAGATGGGTTTTCGTATTTATGAAATAGATGAATTAGTGAATACATACATGCATATATGCGTACCCATATATATATATATATATATATATATATATATATATATATATTAAACATGACTTGTCTCAAGATGTACTGACTGAAATGTAGGGATAATTTTTTTAGGGAGGCCCCGAACCCCAGGGGGCCCCACAATGTTGCGTGCTCGCCCCCCCCTCCCTTGACGGAATCCTGGATCCGCCCCTGTGGGACACAAACACGCCAGGACATTGACACAGGTGACAGACAGCACCGACACTTTACGGCGTGCAATGACAGAAAACGCCTTCAAATTTGGGAAAGTATATTCATTGACGAGCCCTCTCTTGCCCTCAACAAATTCTTCTACAACCCTTAAATTATTAGGTGGTGGACGGTGAGCACTCTTGATGTGATTGTGGCAACATGTTTGTCTTTGTAGCGTTCCCACCAGCAGTGTATTTTATACGTATAAAAGTAAAAATAGGATTTCGTTTACTTCATTTGGCCATGCTTTATTTGCGTTCTCCATACCAAAATATGTTTTCCAGCAGTACTGCGCAAATGTCATCCTTTGAAAACCCAAAACTTACTTCTTGTCTCACTCAGTCTTCTCTGACGCTGCGATAATACCTCGAAACGTAGCAATGTAAAGAGCGACGAATATATGAGCGATTTTGTGCGGATCATCTTTATTATGATTAGCACAGCGGTTGAAGCCTCCGAGTTGCGTACTACATATATATATATATATATATATATATATATATATATATATATATGTATATATATATATGTATATATATATGTATATATATATATATATATATATGTATATATATATATATATATATATATATATATATGTGTGTGTGTATGTGTGTGTGTGTGTAGTTGCATCATACATACGTATATATATATATATATATATATATATATATATATATATATATATATATAAATCTCTCTCCCTCTCTCTCTCTCTCTCTCTCTCTCTCTCTCTCTCGTTCAGTCTCTTCACCCGATTTTCATCCACGACCACGTCCCAGAATCATTCCATCTTTTAATGCGTTGGCGCAAGCTGGAAGCGAGAACATTAAAAACGAGGCACTGCGAACCGCACCAATGGAAATAATCTAGGGAGCTTCGTAAGCACCTACATCTCAGAGGGCATCCTCATTATATGACTCAAGTCCCGCCTTGAGGACAAAGTGGTACATGGGCATGTGAACGTACAGTTCATTGATGGAAGGCGAAGTCCGCACTCGTTTATGTTACGTGAAGTCCGTGTTTCATCTGCAATAAACTACGAAATAGTGGCCCGATATAAACTCAAACATTTATTAGACGACGGCCCAAGTGAGGTAAACAGCATAGAGAGATCAGTAATGTGCAAAGGCTAAAATGCCCGCAACCGCGACCACATTCCAAGCCAATGCAACACAAACATGAGCGAGACAGCAATACGGCCCCGGAAGACAGCGCAGCGCTTGACCCGTGCCCACTGGCCGCTAGAAACGCGACATACAGGACGCCACGCACACGTGTGGCGCTCACTGCACTCCTCGGCAGATGGCAATGGCGCCAGCACCTCACCACGGGGTCAGCGCACGACCAGGCGTGCAACTGCTGGACTTCGCGGCCGGGATGCCGGGGGGACGGAGGTGCGCCCGCGACGGACATGAGCCTTTTGCTACCGCGGAACAGAACACATCGGCACTGGCACATCACCACCACATGTCGACAAATGAGTATATACTGTTCGCCGATGTACAGCAAAAGTCATGGAAGGCAAAGGGACGCGCTAAGCACACCGTCAACAGAAGTGTGTGCCTCAATCAACGAATGCGTTTTCGGTGCTGCGACTAAATCTACATTTTTGTCCACCACCATTCGCTTACGGTGGTGAGGGCGAGGGCGCACAATGTATGCAAAACTGCCGCCAGCACCGCCCTCCAATTTGACGATATCGGCAGGTAGCGACGCCCGCGCAATGCTTGGTTCAACTCTCGCTGACAGAACATCGCTGAAAAGCTGTGACTGACGCCTGTGACGATGCCGGTCGTTCTCATCCGTTGCGCACGCCCAATGCGTGCTCGAGCTCGGCGCGCTTCTGCTGCACCTTGGAGTAGAAGTAGCGGTTGACAGCTTCGCCAGCCCAGCCCTGCTGGTAGAACCCGCTGCGCCGCTCCTCCTCCGGGTTGCCGACCACGTCCGTGATGGTCTGCCAGCGGCGACCAAGCCGGTCACGGGTGGCACGCCAGCCAGGCAGACACGGGGCAGCGGACGAAGATGATGGCCCGGAGACACGGGGGAGTGGGCGGAGGTGATGGCCCGGAGACACGGGGGAGCGCGGGGAGATGATGGCCCGGAGACACGGGGAGCGGGGGGAGATGATGGCCCGGAGACACGGGGAGTGGGGGGGGGGGAGATGATGGTACGGAGACACGGGGGAGTGGGAGGCGAGGGAGGAGATGATGGTCCGGAGACACGGGCAGCGGGGGGAGATGATGGCCCGGAGACACGGGGAGCGGGGGGAGATGATGGCCCGGAGACACGGGGAGCGGGGCGAGATGATGGCCCGGAGACACGGGGAGCAGGGAGATGATGGCCCGGAGACACGGGGAGCGGGGGGAGATGATGGCCCGGAGACACGGGGGAGTGGGAGGGGAGGGAGATGATGGTCCGGAGACACGGGGGAGTGGGAGGGGAGGGAGGAGATGACGGCCCGGAGACACGGGCAGCGGGGGAGATGATGGCCCGGAGGCACGGGCAGCGGGGAGATGATGGTCCGGAGACACGGGCAGCGGGGGAGAGGACGGCCCGGAGACACAAGGAGCGGGGGGAGATGATAGCCCGGAGACACGGGGAGCGGGGCAATGGTGGCCCGGAGACACGGGGAGCGGGGCAATGATGGCCCGGAGACACGGGGGAGCGGGGGAGATGATGGCTAGGAGACACGGGGGAGCGGGGTTGATGGCGGCCCGGAGACACGGGCAGCGGGGGAGATGATGGCCCGGAGGCACGGGCAGCGGGGGAGATGATGGTCCGGAGACACGGGCAGCGGGGGAGAGGACGGCCCGGAGACACAAGGAGCGGGGGGAGATGATAGCCCGGAGACACGGGGAGCGGGGCAATGGTGGCCCGGAGACACGGGGAGCGGGGCAATGATGGCCCGGAGACACGGGGGAGCGGGGGAGATGATGGCTAGGAGACACGGGGGAGCGGGGTTGATGGTGGCCCGGAGACACGGGAAGCGGGGGAAGATGACCCGGAGACACAGGGAGCGGGGGGAGATGATAGCCCGGAGACAAGAGGAGCGGGGGAGATGATGGCCCGGAGACAAGGGGGAGCAGGGGTGATGGTGGCCCGGAGAAGCACACTGCTGAGGTTTTGATACTGCGGTGCTGAGTCCAGAGGAGACGTGGGATGGGGTGGTCAGGACGTCAGGGGTTCGAAGACGGGACGGAACTGAGGACCGGGAGGACGCGGACAAGGTCATGCCCGTCGCAGGAGACTTAGGCGACATTAATAAAACGATGACGGTATTAAGGTTAGGGGCGGGGGAGGGAGGGGGGGGGGGGGGAAGTGGTGGTGCTGGGATCCGAGATGCATGCGGAGAGCGCGAAAATGAGGTCCAGGATGCAGGGTTATTGAAATGGAGTGCAGTAATCGGTGCTAGATTTCATATGAAAAATACGTTGCTTAATATACATGATGCCATTTTGTGACTCAACAAAAACGACCCTGCTTTAGTGCATTCAGACTGAACCTTTTCTGATTTAGGATAAATCTGTCCTGGGTCAGAGCCCAAACCTTTTATGATTCAAAGGCTGAATCTTTTCTGATCCAGAGTCTGCATCTTTTCTGATTCAGAGGCTGTATCTTTTCTGATTCAGAGACTGTATCTTTTCTGATTCAGAGACTGTATCTTTTCTGATTCAGAGACTGTATCTTTTCTGATTCAGAGACTGTATCTTTTCTGATTCAGAGACTGAGCCTTTACTCTTTTGATTTTCCATAAAAAACAATTATCCTATTACATTATCAGGCATAGATAAGTCATACTTAAGCTTTCTGAACAAGCCCTGGCCCCAGTAACAGGCAGCTAGCAGAGTGACAGCGTCCAGCCAAACGTAGAACGAATGGCTCAATCGCAGCCACGACACAGCACAACTATCCTACCGGACGGGACGCTATTGCGCCGCATCAGTGACGTCACTGGCCGCACATCTCGCCCAACGAAACGGGCCATAAGGTCACGTGACACGCGACCTGACGAGCGTGACGGCCTGGCGCCGCGCCCACCTCCAACACTAGACCTGACGAGCGTGGCGGTCCGGCGCCGTACCCACCTCCAACACTAGACCTGACGAGCGTGGCGGCCCGGCGCTGCACCCACCCCCAACACGCGACCTGACGAGCGTGACGCCCGGCCCCGCACCCGCCCCCAACACGCGACCTGACGAGCGTGACGCCCGGCCCCGCACCCGCCTCCAACACGCGACCTGACGAGCGTGACGCCCGGCCCCGCACCCGCCTTCAACACCCGACTGACGAGCGTGACGCCCGGCGCTGCACCCACCCCCAACACGCGACCTGACGAGCGTGACGGCCTGGCGCCGCACCCACCTCCAACACCAGACCTGACGAGCGTGGCGGCCCGGCGCCGCACCCACCTCCAACACCAGACCTGACGAGCGTGGCGGCCTGGCGCCGCACCCACCTCCAACACCAGACCTGACGAGCGTGGCGGCCCGGCGCCGTACCCACCTCCAACACGCGACCCGACGAGCGTGACGCCCGGCGCCGCACCCACCTCCAGGTCGCGGCTCTGCGAGACGAGCCACTTATTGATGAACTGCTGCGGGTCGCGCGCGAAGCCCAGCAGAAACTCGCGGTTGACCTTGTACTGGTTGATCATCTCCACCGTCTCGTGCACCTTGTTGTCCAGCGTCTGGATCTCCAGCTGGCTGGCCGTCGAGAGCAGGAAACTGTTCATCTGCGCCTTCAGCGTGTCGTCCACCTGCACGGTGAAGGTATGCCGGGGCCGTCAGCGGCCGCTGCATGACCCCTCGCAGTGGATGCGCTCGAAAACCCTAAATCATAATTACCTATGCCGTAGAAGGGTTAACGGCGTTGGGCTTCGAGATATAAGTGCCTGAGTTGAATTCCCCGTATAAATAATAACGGTCTTGCTTTCCACCAGGGGTGACGGCGCACCATCAATCACAGTTAACATTGCTATAGTTACATTGTCACATAGTTACATAATTACAGTTACAGTTACACAGTTACTTGGTTCCTGCCCGGCGTCATAGTTACAGTTACAAGCATTCTAAAACTGACAGAGTTATGCCGAAGAGCAAAGGGAGCTAGGGCAGGGGAGTTTCACGAAGCCAGTTCATACTCTGTCACCACCGAATTCAGCAATGAGTTTAAACATTAAAACAACATTAAAAAGAGTATTAACTACCCAATATGTTCCTGCCCAGCGGCCCCGCCGGGACGCGCAGACAGACCGGGCTCGGTCGCGCAGGGGACTGGTTAGCAGGCAAAACAATGACCATGGTACTGCTACTGCAGCTTACACCTGCCAATACCCCACTACATTCATCCTGACGCCGCCTCGTGGAATGGAACACGGTCTCACGATCGCTAAACACTGCGTAGCACGCTGCGGTCGCGCCGCCCCGCTCCCTGCCACCCAGTCATAACTGCCACCCCACGACATCAACATTTGGCTGTCGGCGCGTATAAACACCGGAGGCCGGGCGAGGGGCCTGCCGCCAGCGACGGCGGCTCGCACCTCGGCCTCGATGTCGTAGCAGGACGTCTTCTTCTGCTCGGGCCCGTCCACGGTGATGGTGTGGTTAATGACGATCGGGTCGGGCGGGTGCAGCAGCGAGTTGAGCCGGTGCGGCACCTCGGCGAACTTCATACGCGAACACTGGAAGATCTGCTCCAGGTAGCGGTCGCAGTTGACGTACTCGCGCTCGCTCTGGTCCTGCGGCGGCGGGGGCGGCGCGTCAGGCCTCACGACACGACCAGGCGACGGGCAGCGGACGGGACCACCGTTCTGCACGACGGTAGGGATGGGGAAAGGCCACCACACACATCCACACATACACACACACCAAGTAGCTACCAGTCATAACGTCGTCTTATCTGGCCTTCCCCAAACACGCGCCACCTTCCAGAAAGCAGACCGGGAGCCACATTTCAACACCCTGCCCAAGATAATGACACCAACCAAAGCACAGCACAATTCCACTGTACGGATGACACACGAACGCCACGAGCCCGCGGCCTCTCACTGGCGCAGCTGTACTTTCCCCCGTGTCTCTTTCGGCCGAACTGTCGGACGGCGCGTTGGACGCCGACACGCTGCCTCGCTCTCACCTGCAGCTTGTTGTGCTTGACGTACTGCCAGAGCGCCTGCGTGATGACGGGCCGCGACTGCGTGTGCACGCCCAGCAGACGCGCCAGCCGCGAGTCCAGCTTGAACTGCGGCGGCTGGTTGTCCAGTAGCAGCAGGATCGTGCAGCGCACGTTACGGTCCCCTGGTCGCTTCACCTTGTCAGGGCAGGGGAGGCGCCGGTCAGCGGTGCACACGGAAGCTCATAGATGGCGCATGGAGCTGACAGGCAGAGGCCAGAGCTCACAAGCAGACAAAGTTTACTGCACAAGCACACAGTAACATTCAACCTCCACTCTGTAGCACTAAGCACCATTACATAGGGTTGCAAGATGACATGAGGAGGTTGTACGTTTTTCGTTTTATCTGTTCATAACAGTTGGAAGCCCGGCCTCCTGCCAGTCACAACGGATGCTTCTCCACAGTACACAAACATCACAGCCACCAGTGAGGACCCAGTTGGACCCACCTGCAGGGGCCAGTCTGCGACCTGACCCTGATAGTTGGCTGTGAGGTCTCACCTGGAAGCCATCTGTCTCCTGAGTGCTAGCTGTTCTGTGCCACTCCACCAGGTGATTGTCCGGACCGTACAAGTCCTTGTCCAGTTCGATCACCAATGACTTGAAGAATGAAGAGAACTTGCGCTTGCCCTGCAGAATGAACACAAACCGATCTAGCGCGTTCCGACTGATGTTCAAAACGAACGGTTACGGACAAAACACAGTACACAGTGTTGCATACAGTACATACAACAGGTACCACCAGCATAAAAAATGGGGTTGCAGGCACTTGAATTAAACGATTTTTTTCGATGTCCAAAGCAACATATGGCACAAACACCCACACCACTATCACACAACACCTGGCTGCCCACCACTTCTCACCAACAGCATCCACCACCTGTCATATACCCCACACCACAGCCCCCCCCCCCCCCCCCTGGGCAGCCCCCCGCGTCTTAACGCACCTTGGCCGACTGGTCAGGCTTGCCGTCGTCCAGCAGCTTGCCCTCGACGCGCAGCTCCCAGCAGGCGGCGCTGCCGTCCGTCTCGCCCTCGGCCGCCGCCTTCGCAGGGAAGTACGTATTGGAGATGAAGACGCGCAGCTTGCGCTTCTGCTTCATCGGCCGCTTCAGCGCCTCCTACGCCGGTGGGGCGTGGGCGGTGAGCGCGCCGACAATGCCATAAACAGACACAGACAAAGACAGAGAGGAAACCACACACAGGGGCAGACAGAGACAGAAGGAGAAAAAGACAGAGGAAGACAGAGACAGAAGGAGATGGAGGTAGAGGGAGACAGATACATAGGGTGACGGACAGAGGGAGACAGATACAATGAGTGAGTGACTGGGTGAGTGAGTGAGCGAGTGATAGTGAGCGTGAGATACAGAGGGAGAGAGAGATGCAGGAATATGGAGGTGGACGGCGAAAGACGGAGAGCAAAACCGGCAGAGCAGTGACTACCAACCGGGGCGAAGGTGTAGAAGTCTAGGATGGATCCACAGCCTTATACCACATTGCTGTGCAAGGTCAGCTCTGCATACAGGAAATATGCACACCTGCAGTGGGTGCCATATCTCAGAAAAACAAATTATGACGAAAACATCGCTGGCTGCGACCACTGCCCTGAGCCCTGATTTCACCTGCTCCCTTTGGCGAGAGAATGTGCGCCTCTTCCCATAACAGCTGCACACACTACAAAAACAATCAATCAGCGTATCACAACGATTGATTTCACAAGTGCTCCACCAACCAAAGCAGATGTCTTTGTAACAGAGCGTGGTGCCATACCCAAAGGCGTATATTGACAACCTATACTCAGCAGCAAACTCCACAACAAAGGTGCACAACATGGCATGCGCACCTGGATATCCAGCCGTTTGCGCATGATGGTGGCGTCCAGCTTGCGCTCAAAGGCTAGGAGGTCCATGTAGGCTTGCGACTCGGGTACCAAGTCCCGCACTTTCCACGGCAGGATCTTGTCTGCCATCCGCTTCCGCTTCTTAACGCTGAAATGACCGGGTCTGAGCACGGTTCGAGCCACGTAATGATCGGCAGAAGGCAATGGACTCAGACAAACAACAACACAATCAAATCACAACACTATCCTGCTTATTTTGGAGCTTACAGATAGATAGGGCTGAGTGCATGCCACTCTGTGGCTTCCTTAACATAATACATGTAATGAGGAAATTCAGAGTGAATGTAAAACCTTCCATATCACACATGGATGCAGAAAATTTCAGAACACCGCGAGTTACGACCAAGTTGAGGCATTTCATCAAAAGACCATCACCACCAAACAACACTAGACCAACAGTGCTAAGGGCAACTGTGTGCCTCGTCAGTCGTCGCTAGGCACGGTGGTCATCAGTTCACATTGGCAGCTTACGTTTTACCCTGCTGGGCGAGCGGTCCTCTCTGATCCGACGGACGTTTGATAGGCTGCGGTCCTGGCTGCGGTCGGACCACAGGGTACCGGTTTTGCACCATGTTTCCACCTGTCAAGGCACTGTGTTTTGGCAAAAGTCCACAGTATACATATAGCACAGCTCATTTATAGTTATGGAGTGGGAGGGGCAGCCGTCACACCTGATTTCTAACTGATTCCCAAAGGGAGCTAAAATTAACTAGTTATTGGCATCATGTGGGGGGGGGGGGGGGGGGGGTACCTATGACTTTGTCATCATTGGTGAAAAGGGCAAGTACAATACCTGATCGCTGCATCATATTTTGAGAGCTGCTTGATGGGTAGTGTCCATGCTGCATTCCCTGTAAGAACATGAAAATGTGATAGCATGCAAGCCATGCTTGAAACACAACCCAGATATAATATATAGTGAAACATGTTTGCAAGTAACAAATATCAAACAATTTGGACCACAATCAGTGTTACTATCACTACCATTGACCTGGCTTCAGTTCCATAACTTGCACTTACATTGTATGCAGATCCTCCACTGCCATATGTACGAGCCACAGGGGTCCCTGGAGTTCCAAAACAAGGCTGCTGAGGAGCAATCTGTGGACGTGGTTGCCCATCTTGTGGTGGGTAGTTGTGTCGTAGTGCCATAACCACACTGCGAGACTGGTTTTTGGTGTTTTGTGTTCTGGAAGAGTACAGTCTCAATGAAAGCATAATGCGCCTACTTCACAACACACAATGCTCACATGCATCACGAGCCAGCATGGCTACATCGCTTCCGCAAGAATAACACCAAAAGTATATTACCTGACATGACACAGTCTGTAATGACAATGCCATGACATAATGGCTGCAGAAAGAGCAGTAATACAACAAAATTCAAACAATACAAATCAAATGCACTGTATCTTATAAAAGTGGTGCATACTATAAATCTGCATCCCAACTGATTACAGTAAAAGCATATCATCAGTCACCTGAAATGGATGGCACAGGAACTGGGGGGAGGGGCAGGGCTAGAAGGAGAAAGGTTCTTGTCTACCAATCTGCAAAAGATTAGTCCATTGCACAGGATGTCTTCCAAACATAAGTGAGCTGAACCTGATGCACAAGGACCAGTGTTTTGAACTTACAATAGGCCAGGATGTGAAGAATATTGACCTTTGCATAATCAAGTTAAGGGGGAATTTTGGCCTAACAGAACATGGACAACATCACAATTCCTTCAAATATTGCCTGTCCACGCACTGACATTGGTGATGACCATGAAAAGCACGACTGTCAGTGCTCAAACTTATGGTATGCATGCTCTGAAACTAATGCTGGTAAGTCGCTTCCTGTCAGGATATCACTTGCTATGATGTTACTTGTTATACAGGTGGTCTGTCGCTAAACTGAACATGTTTGAAAAACAATTTTTGCAGGCTACAAGCCCACCCGACTTTCAAGAACAATGGGCAAACTAACTTTAACAACCTGATTGGGCAGCTTGTTTCAACCATCTTCAACCCCATTACTGAGAAAGAATGTTGCAATTTACTCCTGCTGAGATTAAATTTATTCCCATGTTGATCCATTCTTACTCTGTTGACTTCATTTATGCAAAAATCTAACAGTGCTCTGAAGTTGAACCAGGCCAAATAGTGATGAGATTTGTGATACTTTTCCCTAAAATGCTTCAAAAATATTCTTCAGAGCGACCAAATTATTGATGTGATGATTCCCTCAATCCTTCTATATTTCAGCAAATGCTTTCTTAGGTACTTTATTATCTCTGCAGGCTAGACTATAACAATATTTGAGGCATCACATCATTAGAGGCAGGTCAGGACAGGTGAGGCAACAGACACAGGTCTTCTTAACAAAATGAAATCTGATTGCTCCTTTGAGCACACAATGATATGAGCAGACTTTAAAGTGTCAACACTGTCCATACCTAATTAGAGAATACAATTAACCGCGTCAAAAAATTATTTCGACATCAGCATGAGTACTCTGAATACAATGCATCAATAAAAGAAAAACAAAAATAGCACGATACAAAAAAATACAATCCACGGATGCCTTCATACCGAAACAAAGAATGAAGCTTCAAGGTAGGACCAAGCCGTTGGACTATACCCCAATGCGCGGCCCACGGCTAACGACGTACCGGCGTCCAATGGCTTGTCCGCCAATTTTGCCGCAAGATGATAGTTCAAAGGCGGCCAGATAATCTGACCTTGAAAATTGTAGCTACCAGCTTTGAAAATCTCTTCAACAGTACTTCACCTACGTAAGTTACAATACATCAGGAAAAGAAAAGCAAAAAGTAACACCATACAAAGATTGTTTTAAGTGTTTTGCGTTCTGAAAGAGCTCAGTCTTAACGAATACATAATACGGCTACTTAAGAACACAAGCACTTGCATAAAATATGAGACAGCATGTCTTCATCATTTCTCCCAGAATTACACAAAAAGCATATCACCTGATATAGCAAAGGCTGCAATCGCGATGCCATAATGACTAGGATAGCGAGTAGGGTCATCGGCAGGTAATTTTGAATTCACATCTGCTATTGTTTCGATGAACGCATGTTGCCGAAATATCAACCCAACTATATCTCCTTCTGGTTTTCCTTCGAGGAATAATACCATTCCTACTGTCTTATCTGAGTCCTTCACCTACAGAAATTCGGGCATATGGGGATGCAGGGCCCCGTTCGATCCGTCGCTAGCACTGTTATCAGCTGGAACGCGTGACGTCATGCGTGCTGATGGTGCGTTTGATGTGTAGGCTGACGGGAAAGTTTTTTAACTTTGCTTTCCCTTCTACTACAGACCACAGACTAAGGCCCTGTTCGATCTGGTGTCAGCACTTTACACTTTTTCAAGCACAACCTTGATTCCTTGCTTATTTACAGCCAGCTGGTTGGTAAACGTGATCAACTGATGGCTGATGATTATGTAAACTTGCCTGTCAGCATGGATGATTTAGGAAGATTAACATTAGCATAGACCTGAAAAATTTGCACATGCAACTGACCTATGACGCCATAATTACGCAATAAACTTGCCCCCGAAACATGTTCATAGCAAACAGCGCGATTGCCTCTTCCTCTTTCCCGCTTCCGGCATAGCAGGTTATTCCAACCATAAAAAAATATGTTGCAATGGCAGCTCACTGCACTGGCTTTCCGACCAAATTTATTGCAGCACTCCTCACTCCCTAAATCCGAGGGTGTGTGTCGTTCAGAAATTTCATTGCGAAATGCGTGTTTTGGGTCATTTTCCCATGGTTTTCTCTTCCCATGGTTACACTATGTTAATTGAGCATAACATGCCAAAAACGCAACACCCTTACAGCCCTAACTGACGAGCTAGTGGTGCAAAACAAAGATGGGTGTGTTGTTTGTCATGATAGGGTGTCAGCAGTATACGACTTTAAATTTGTGAAGTATATATAAGGACTAATACAATTCGCCATAATGCCTGAATACAGGGGCAGATCTCGGATTTCGTCAAGGGGGGAGGGGAGGGTACGCATCGTTGTAAGACTCCCTAAATGTTAGGGTGCCTCCAAAAGGTCCTTGCATTCCGGCCATCAAATTTCAAGTTTCTTAGTATGCTATCTTGTATGCGGGAGCCTATCTTACTGTGCAGAGCCCTAGAAAGTTACATGTACTACGTATGCGCATATACGCAGCTTATTCATTTTCTCCGGACTACATTCTGTTATTCTGATGCCAAGCTGGGGTACTCTCGTTTGCTCAGGGGCCCTTTACATGGGTCTCGGTTAACCTACTGACACACTCGCGGCATGTTCAGGGGCCCTCTTCATTGGTCTAGAGCGCTTCCAATCCTCTGTCAAATGTTCAAATGTTTAGAGCCCTACGCTCTTGTCAGGGGCCCATCTGATAGCCTGCTTGGGCACACTCACTGGGGGACCTACGCGATTGTGGGAGGCGGGGGGGGGGGGGGGGCTATCTGATAACCTGCTCGGGCACAGTCGATCGTTCGAGGCCAACTTCATTGGGTCTTGGGCACGTCCAAATTGAATGGGGCCCCACGCTCTTGTCGGGGGTTCCCCTCTGTTCGCTTCATCGGTTACACTTGATTGTTCGGGGGCCCTGCACATTGAGTCTTGGTGTTTGAATTTACGGCCCTGCGCTCCTATCGGAGTCATCTGATAATCTGTTCGGGTACTGTCCATCTTTTGGGGGCTCTCCGCACTGGGTTTTGGGTATTTCTTGTTTGAATGGAGGGCCTTACGCTTTCGTCGGGGCTCTATCTGTTAACCTGCTCTGGTGCACCCCATTATTCGGGGCCTCCCACATCATGTCGTGTGTATTTAGTATTTAAATGGAGGGTCCTACGCTCCCGTCGGGAACCCCATCTGTTAACTTACTTGAGCACACTCGTTATGCGGGGGCCCTCCACATTGTGTCTTGGACACTTCCTACCTGAACGGAGGGCTCTACGCGCTTGTCGGGAACCTACCTGGTCGCCTCCTCGGCCACGCTGGAGTGTTCGAGGGCCCTGTATGTCGGGCCTTGGTGTTTGAATTTAGGCCCCTACACTCCTGTCGAGGCTATCTGATACTATTCTCGGGCACACTCGATCATTCGGGGGCCCTCTACATGGGGTCTTTGGTGTTTTCTATTTAAAGGGAAGGCCCTACCCTCTTGACGGGGACTGTTTATATTAACCTGCTCTGACACATTCTATCACTCGGGGGCCCTCTACTTTTGGTCTTGGTGCTTCCTATTTGAATGGACGTCCCCACGTTATTGTTGGAAGCTTTATCTGTTGATCTGCTCTGGCACATTCTATCACTCGGGGGCCCTCTATATTGGGTCTTGGGTGCTTTCTATTTAAATGGACGTCCCTACGTTCTTGTTGGGAGACTTATCTGTTAACCTGCTCTGGCACACTCGATTATTCGGGGCCCCCTACATTGGGTCTTGGGTACTTCCCATTTGAATGGAGGGCCCTACACTCTTAGCGGGGGCTCTATATGCCAGCCTGCTCCGACACACTTAATCGTTCGGAGCCCTACACATTGTGTCGTTAGTATTTCTTAGTTGAATGTGTGGCTCTGTGTTCCTGGCAGGCCCCATCTATTAAGCTGCTCGGGCCGGCGGCGGATGCAGAGGGCGGCTGAACGCAAGAGACCATGCCCCATTGGACCATGCCGAGAGGACCTGAAGGCACCTGTAGACGACCAAAAACAATTGCTAATAAAAGTAAAGAGTTCATAAGCAGACGAAGTTAACACGCACTCGAATGGAGGGTCAAATTGACCCCCCCCCCCCCGAAGGTTTTTCCAGAACGGCTTCCGAACGACGCGGCGCAGCTGCGCCAAATTCTAGATTGCTGCAGACAATTGAATAACGAATCGTTTGGCATGAACAATTGAGATGTATTCTGTAAGTTCACTGACCTATGGCGGGTCAAAGTCAGGCTATGGTTTCAGCGAAGTCAATTTCTATGGAATCGTTCAATCTGATGCAACGACGGAGTGTTAGACGAAGCCATACATCTCTGAGATGCTTTCTTAGGCAACACAAACATTGAGTGAGCAAATTAAGTTGACCTAAGTTCAGGTATAAAGGTCAGACCAAAGTCAAAACCAGCCTGCTTTATTACTCTAGGGCTTGCTGTATGGGATAGTTTCTAGTGCTTATTTCAAATTTATTGATAGCACGAACCGCATTATACATTTGCAATGAACTTCTCAGAGGTCAGAATAGGTCACTGACGTCAAATAACCCAGGCCAGCATCTTTGTTAAAGGGATATACTGTCTGGCGCAATCTTTGTCGCTTATTCAAATGCAAAACCCAACGCAGTCTTGTATGCTTTTGGTCACCATAACCTTCAAAAGGTCAGACAAGGTCACTGATCTCAGATGAGCATGTGACCTTTTTCTTAGAAAACGCTATCTAGGTTCTGAGGGCACTTTGGAGACCAGCCTGGAATTTGACCTTATTTGACCTTATTTGACCCGAAGGTCATAAACTAGGAACCTCAGTCTTTAACCTAAGTGAGTTTGCGTATACGTCAACACGCCCTGTAAATTTGGTGTATTTAGCTCTCTTAGTTCCCGAGATCTCAGGGGGGTCAAATTGACCCCCACCCGAGCGAAGGGTAACTAGCCGGCCACCCGGGTGCGTGTCAATGCTTTGCTGGTTGAGAACGTGTTGCTTGCGGGAAATTTGGGGGCTCATTACGCTGTCTACAGGCATTATGCTGTTGATTACTCTGACCCAATGTGCCCATTGCCCGGATTAATCTGATCGCTAGGGAGCTTTCCACGTTTCCCTTGATCTCTTTGCATTTTCTCGTAGGGCCTAACGCTGTCGTGACGCTATCTGCTTCCACACCTGGACACTCTTGGTCGGTGCAGGTTTTCCTCCACGGACTCTTCACATTTGCCCGAAAGGCTCTATACGCTTTTTCAGGGGCCCCATATACCAGGGTACATTCAGTTGCTCAGGGGCCCTCCACGTTAGTCCCGGGTTATTTTCACTTGCTCGGAGGGTCTTGTGCTGTTGCTGAGGCGCTTAATAAGGTAAGACACCGAGACACTCGATGCGTGGGGCCCTCTACGTTGATCGATGACTCCTTCCCTTTGATCTCATTCGCTCCTATCGAGGATTTTTCTGTTAGCCTTCTCGTGCATTCTTGATCGCACAATGGTATTAACTCATGGCCCTGGACAATTCCCTTTGCTCAGATGGTCTTTAATGTGCTGTGATCGGAGCCTTATATGTCAGCCTGGCGGGCCACTACCGATCGTTTGGGGGTCCCCCACGTGGGTCTTGGTTTCTTTTCTGCTTGGTCTGAGGGCCCTATACTTGCTGACGAGAGTCACTTTGTTGGCATCTTGCGGTACCCATGGTCGCTCAGTTTCCGTCCTCTTTGGTCTTTGTGCCTTCGCCTTAGAACAGCAGTCGGATATACGCAGGTGAATTTTTACGCGCAATCGTTGAACGTAGTTTTACGTGCTGCCGACATCGTATGCGCCATTTCCATTGGCTATTGAGTGCGTGACACTTATTATTAGACTAGTGCATCACGTTTTTAACGCCTTTTGAATGCTAGGATATTTTGTACCACTTTATA